ATGTTTTTTACACTTTATTTTTTCATGTTACTGGCTGGAAAGCAGTAAGATTTATTTTTTATTATATATATTTTTCTATTTATTTATAGACTGTCTTGTGAAGTTCAGACAATGTTTAGGAAGTTCACTTAACATGTTTAATATCATGTTGCATGAAACAAGAAAAAATAGAAATGGTGAAAAATATAAAGCCACAGATATTTGCTTTATTGTAATCTGTGCTTTGAATAAATCTTACTTTGTTTATTATAAAACAGACTGATTTATTGCTTCTGTTTGTTGGAAAATAACACATTAAAAAATAATCGCATATTGGATCGCAATCGCAATTTATAGATAAAAAATCGCAATTAGATTATTTTCTAAAATCGTTCAGCCCTATTGTAGGATATGATTCAGCAGAATGAATATCTTACTTTTTGAAGATGCATAGCACTTTGAATAGTCTCAGTTTGGAGAAATATAGCTGATAGTTTATATAAAATAATTAAAAAAACATTTTTTTTTTGAGTGAAACAACACCCAGAGAAGGAAACCAGGTCTGTGGGTGGAGCGTTGTCACCTGGGACTCGGCCAGACCGTGGCCAAAAGAAAGACAAAATGCCACCTCCACCTGTGAGTGGGAGTGTCGAGGTCAGGGACAATGCATGCCAGGTGACAGGCGAGAAACGGTTCCCATCTGTGTTGACTCCTGGTAACATAGACTGGCTCTAGGAACATGGAATGTCACCATATGCCCCTTTTCCACTAGTGCCACGCTGGGTAAGGAGCCTGAGCTTGTGTGTGAAGTTGAGTGATACCAACTAGATATATTTGGGCTTAACTCAATGCACAGCTTGGGCTCTGGAACCAGACTCTTGGACTCTCTCCAACTCTGGAGTTGCCCAGGGAGGGAGGTGTCAAACAGGTTGGGGGTAGTTTTTCTAGACACTGGCTGTGTGCCTCGGTGTTGGAGTTTTCCCCGGTAAATGAGAGAGGGTTGCCAGCTTTCCTGGAGTCTCTGAGTGGTGTCCTGGAAAGGATTCCCTCTGATGATTCTCTTGTTCTGCTAAGTGACTTTAACACCCATGTGGGCAATGACTGAGTCATCTGGAAGGGGGTGATTGGGAAGACCACCCTTCACTGATTTGAACTCAAAAGATGCTCTGTTATTGGACTTCTGTTCTAGGCATGGGCTGTCCAGATCGAACACCATGTTTGAACGTAGGGTGGTCCATAAGTGTATTTGGTACCAGGCCACCTCAGGCCAATGGTCAATGATGGATTTTTAATCGTGTCATCTGACCTGTGGCCCTAAGTCTTGGATACTTGTGTGAAGAGATGGGCAGAGCTGTCAACTGATCGCCACCTGATGGTGAGTTGGATCTGGTGGTGGAGAAGGCTGCCAGACAGTAAACCCAAAAGAATAGAGAGGACGTACTGGGAAGTCCTGATGGAGCCCCCTGTCCAAACTCATCATCTTCACAACTTTTTTGTAGAACCCCACTTGAAAATGTCTGGAATGTCCCTTTAACTACAGCAAATTGTTTTCTCTTCCTCCTCTCTTCTCTTCCTTCATGTCTACTTGTGCAGGGAGTGGCTCTATCTGCTGTCCCATGAGATGTTGAACCCATATTACGGCCTGTTCCAGTATTCCCGCGACGACATCTACACCCTGCAGATCAACCCGGACTCTGCTGTCAATCCTGTGAGTTACAAACCCATCAGTACAACTGGACTTCTTTTCCTCATGAGGAAATTGAAGAAGCGCACAGAAGCGTTGAAKCTGCTGTTGGACCTTTGTATAACTCTATAAACCAGTTTTCACATAATGTTTGATTCAGGAAGCTGCATCTGTCTGTTGGTTTCATGCAAGAACATGTTCGTATTCTTATCCTAAATTTCTCTTACTTTTGTTCATACGAAGGGTTCGTACCAACATGCCACGTCAGATTCAACAAACTCTTCTCTCTTCAGGAAAAGTATGTAAATGAGCTGCATAAACTGATGAACATGTATCCAGGTGCTTGTGCACGGGGAGAGGTGATTTACATAATTACCACCCCAAAAAACACCATATAAGGTAACGCTTCCTGGCCGACATACCAGGAAGTGTTCATTCATAAATTACATAGCAAAGTAAAAAAGAAGAGCTTTATGAATTTGGAGATTGAAGTCCCGCTTTCAGAGACCCAGAAAAAAAATCTGTCATTTTTAGCAGCGTCAGACGACTGCTGTTAATGTTGTGTCTCCTGTGGGTCGTATACAGACACAGAAATAAAAATCTAAATCATATTCATCTCTCTCTAGTCCTGCTCCTGCTTCCCTTTGGTCAAATATTTTTAATTTAAGTGTAAACAACTGTGTTACATAGTTTTCATTTATTCAGAAGAAGAGCTGTCGCACACGGCTACCCCCCCCCCCCMMMAAAAGAAACATTTAAACTATCTTCAAACTTTAATTAATGCACAATTTAAGTTGGTTTTTAGTTTGAGATCTTCGTATTAATATTGTAGTGTTATACAACAGCATTAAAAGCCAATTTAATTTAATCTTAACAAATTTATGTCATTAGTTACATTTAAAATCTAATTCCAGTTCAAACAGAATAAACTGTCAACATAATTATGGAGTGTGATTTATTTTCAACTCAAAATATCTTCAAACTAATGAAATATGAAGTTATTAGTGAGAAAAATCTGTCTGGATAACAGCAGACTGACTGCTCGTAAAATATACGACAGGTCTGGACCACTCATGAATTTTGTTCGTATCTGAAAAAAATCGTACAATGTGAGAAAATTGGTGAATGCCACAAATTCTCCTAAATCACTCGTACGCACAACTTAAGAACAAATCTGTTTGTACAAACTGTTCTTGTATGAGGCCCAATGTGTCCAAAGTAAATACCATTTTAATCAGAAACATGCCAACCGTTCATATTTTATGTGTTAGAGTAAAATGCATAGAAATAAAAAGATAAAACATTGTTTCATGCTGACACTGTTAATGCAGACAAAACGTTAAAACTGTTATTGCCACCATGTTTTTTGATTTAAAGTTTATCCAACACTTTGATAATATTTTACCTCATCCTCCCCAACTTTCATCCCTGTGTTCAAGGCAGATTTTCCTGTAACTTGTGAAAATATATATTCATAATTATTCACATTTCCAAGAAAACTCTTTGATTTTGTTGCACCTTTTTTAATGTCCTTCTCAGAGTCAGGAAGGTTTAGTTAAGTTAAATGTTACCTTGATGAGTGATCAAAGCATATCGCTTCATTTGTAAAATCATTTTTGTCACCCTACAGGAGCACTTGTCATACTTTCACTTCGTAGGCCGCATCATGGGGATGGCGGTGTTTCATGGCCACTACATTGATGGGGGCTTCACTTTACCTTTCTACAAACAGCTGCTGGGTAAACCCATCACTCTGGACGACATGGAGTCTGTCGACCCCGACTTGCACAACAGCCTTGTCTGGATCCTGTATGTATATTTTATTCAAACTGAAATGACTCTTAGGTGTCATTAAAACATGACTGCGTCCTTAAAACACATTAATCTTCAACAAATGAGATAATATAACCTTAGCACAAAAAGTAAGGACATTTGTGTTTGGTMGATTATTTTTTGTTGTAACAATGCTTCTTGGCAATAAATCTWAAATCATTGGAAAGCCTGGTAATTTCCTTTTTAAATAGTGCCWCATTTGTAAGGAACATGCATTTGCAGAATGAGCAGTAGAGCTCAGTAAGTGGGTTGCAGACATGAAAAATTCTCCAAATCTTCTCTACCAAACAGCTTATTTTGTTGTTATTGGCACTTGTTTTGAGCTTCTGGTACCTCCAGCTTCATAATTTAAATGTTCCTCTGCCAACAGGGACAATGACATCACAGGTGTGCTGGACCACACCTTCTGTGTAGAGCACAATGCTTATGGCGAGATCATCCAGCATGAGCTCAAGCCAAACGGTAAAAGCATCCCCGTCACCCAGGACAACAAGAAGGAGTAYGTCCGCCTCTACGTCAACTGGCGTTTCCTGCGAGGCATCGAGGCCCAGTTCTTGGCTCTGCAGAAGGGCTTCAACGAGGTCATCCCCCAGCACCTGCTCAAGTCTTTTGATGAGAAGGAGCTGGAGGTACGGCACTTCTTCATGCTGACATGTTCAGCTGAAGTTCAAACCCGCTGAATTGATTTGTCTGTTCGTAGCTGATCGTGTGCGGCCTAGGGAAAATCGACATCAACGACTGGAAGTCTAACACGCGTCTCAAACACTGCACTCCGGACAGCAACATCGTGAAGTGGTTCTGGAAAGCTGTGGAGTCCTTCGAWGAGGAGCGCAGGGCCCGGCTGCTGCAGTTTGTCACCGGCTCTTCAAGAGTCCCTCTGCAAGGTTTTAAGGCCCTGCAAGGTATTAAGAAGAAAACGTTCGCTAAAATCCTAAAATATTAGCCAAGTTGTGTCAGTTTAATGGGTACTAAATGCTAATGAAATAATAATAATCTGCTTGTCATTAACAATTTCTGCACAAACTAGTGTGTGATAGTTTCTTCTAATCTGTTGCCTTGAATGTTGTTTTCTGCAGGAGCTGCAGGACCTCGACTCTTCACCATCCATCAGATCGATGCCAGCACCAACAACCTGCCCAAAGCCCACACCTGGTGAGCAAAGTTTCTGATCATTCAGACTGTGGGAGCAGTAAATTATTGCACTGTGACTGTTGTTGATCAGTTTGAGACACAAAATTGTGAGACACCAGGATTTTCTATCTGGAATCAATTTATTGTTTAGTTTTGCCATATTTATATACCGTACTACAAATAAATTATGACATTCGCATGACAATCCTACAAATAAAGCACATTTGTCCATGATGTTCTCAATGGCTGTTTTGAGTGAACGTGTGGATTTTTCAAAGGAATTTAAAGTGACACACAAGTGAGGGCCTGTGACTGACTAGCCTGGCCCTTGCCTTCCTATGCAGCTCCGCTCAATTCTAGTTTCCCTTCTCTGCTCCGTCTGGGATTTCTCCCATAGACAAGGATTACTTCAGGAGAATTTTTGTTCGGGCCGATCAGAGAACAGAACGTCAATTTTCTGCACAGTGTCTGCTTGTAGTTTATTTTACCTGGACCAATCAGAGAACAGAAGGTGGAGTTTGGAACGACGTCGATGTTCTGCACAGTGTCTGCTAGTTATTTTAGCATACGGCAGTGGAGGAAGTGAATGAAGCCAGTCTGTGTTGATAAGGCTTCCAAATTAAATTAAATTTATCTGACAAAGCAGCAGCTCTCATTTACAGCCGTCTCGTTCAGCTCGGTATATTTCTTCTCTCAGTAGGGTTGTTTACAGCACACGATTTCCGGTTAGCTTCTTAGCTTAGCCTCCTTCACAGTGACATACAGTACGTCGTGGCCAACTGATCCAATCATTTTAAACTTCAGCAGAGGTCACGTCTCCAGCAAGAATTGCTTCTCTATAGCTGCGAGTCCAGACCCTTATCCTTCACTTTGTTTCGTACAAGGGTCTGGTTTTTACCAGGCTAGTGACTGTTGGGATGGGTACCGAATTGGAGACTTTAAGTACAGACCAAACTCTGTCAGTCCTACAGAGAACCCATTCACGTAACATCAAACGGTACCATGTTTCGGTACCTAAACGCATCATTGCGACTGTATTGGTGTAAAAGTGGGAGATTTTCTATGCTTGTCCTGAACGCAGCATTGCACAAGAGCGTAATGGCGTCAGCAGCCGCTGATTCAGTAAACAGAGCTCAGTCTGAACGTAGCTTGAAAACCTTGCAGCTCCTGGAGTAAAACTCACTGAACAGACCACCTCTGAATTATCTGGTGGATTAATTATCTTGTGAGCACGACGTTCGCTTGCTCAAAGTAAATAAAGTACAGCCACTTTCTTTATTTCATCCACCATTAAACAGAGACCGGCAGAGGAAAACAACAGAGGAGCTTCCTGACAGTCCAAACACATCTGACCTGAAAGAGCACAAGCAGCTAACTTGAAGTGTTGGACGTGTTTTGGATGCTCAAAGCGTAGCTTGAATAACTTTTATTTACTTTACTCCATCCTCTTTTGCTTATTTGATATAAACTTATTTGCCTTCCATGGACCTCCATCACACATTTTTCTAGTGGGGAAATGACATCAATAGAAACACGTGGAGCTGGATTTTAATTAGTGAAATAAGACAAAACAGTCTCGTTGTTTTCAAGAGTTTTCACCTTAAAGATATTAGTTTAAAAACTGATGTTACAATACAAAGAGTTGGATGTTGTCTTGATATTTTTTAAATTTTATATATTGAGAAATATGTTTAAAAAAAGTTTATTATTAAAAAAACAATACACACAAAGTACCAAAAATTGGTACCGTTCAGTACTGGTACCTGATATTGGTTCCAAATCAATTCAAATGTCAAAGGTACCCATCCCTACATGACTGACATAAGAACACTGAGAACACTCACAAACATCGAGACTTTTTTGTGAATGCAGCCCAGTGATATACAAGCTTAACCTTGTCATGACGACAGATCAGAAGAATCTGACTGAACTATGATGCAACGCTTCTTGTAATTTTATCTGTTCAGTTATTTACACCAATCTGAAGTTCCTTCTTCCTTTATGTTTTTGCAGTTTTAACCGGATTGACATTCCTCCCTACGAGAGCTACGACAAACTGTACGACAAGTTGCTCACTGCCATTGAGGAAACGTGTGGCTTCGCTGTGGAGTGAGACATCAGGAACGAGCAGAAGCAACCGTTTGACCATTACAAGCCACCATCCACAAATCAGTTCACTCAGCTGGGGATGACTCTGACAGGATGTGTCACTGAGCTTAGGGAGGCTGAAATGTCATCTGACTGTGGGTTGTTTATAAAACCTCCAGCCCTCATTAATATCTTTTTTTATCATTATTATTGAAAAGGAATTCTTCAGCTGCTAATAACTCCGACTATTTACTAACTTGTGGAACCTGGAATTTTATTTTCATTTTTTTCTGAATTCATTTTAAAAAATAGACTTTATTCCATGTAGCATTGCTCCATATTAGCACGCAAAACACAAGATCAGTCCACTCTGAGACAATAACCACGTTATTTGCTGCAGGACAGAATTATTATTATTATTATTATTATTATTATATTATTTCATTTTATTATTATTTTTTTATTTTTTATTGGTCACTGCAACCACTTGGAAACACTAAATCTGGATGCAACATATGCATGACTCAAGCTGTTTGGTGCATCAAAAAGAAATACTCCTAGGGTGTTTGCTTTGATTCCAAGGATGGGAAGTGCAGAAACAGCTGACTTGTTTACAACTTTCTCCAAAGACAGAAGAAAGGAGTTCTGCCCCACAAAGAAAGCTGCAATCCCAGAACACCCTTTTTTACTGGTCACACTTAAATGTGTTTTGAAATGAATGAGTAGCTTAAAGTGTGATACTTTTGTATAACAGGGAAAGTGCGAAACAGTAAAAAAGAAGAAAAAACTTTATAATATATATATAATTTATTTCTGTTATATTCCAGAAATCCCCTCTCCATTGTTTCAAAAAATAATAACCTTTTTAAATGTTTAGTGTCACTGTTTAAATTATAAAAGACAGTTTGGTGAGAGCAGGACAAATGAAGAGCAGAGGACCGAGCTCACATCCTTGAGGAACTCCTCTGCACGTTAAATCTGTGGTTTAGTTCTTCACTGAATATATCAGAGGAGAATAGGGAGAGGTTTTTTTTTCATAAGAGCAAAAAAAACATAAATATCCTCAGTGCCATAATCATTTTAATGAGAAAAATCTAGCAAACATTGAGCTTACCCTTTAAATTCTGATTTTATTTTTATTTATTTTCCCTTTTGCAGTTGCATATGAGGGTTTAATGTATCACACACACCGCCATCAGTTATTCTAGATTTATGTTACTTACCGTTAATGTATGAAGAGCCAAAAGTGTCGTCGTCTACTTGTTATATTGGAAAAACCGAAGGAGAGAAAAAACTTGACTACCTTTCAGCCATGTGGTGCTAAACTCAGTAAGTTTATTTTAATGTTACCCTCCGACATCCTACTGCTACTCATTTTCATACCTGCCTGTGGCCACGAGCACCAGCCACACTCTCAGGTGATGTCATATGTAGTTTGTAAGGTCTATTTGATTGAAAACTAATGTGGAGAATTTGTTTTTTTTTCACTGTTTGATCGCTCAAATGGTCACTCGCTTTGACATGCCCACAGCAGAACATTAAGTTACAGTCTTTGTAGCATGTTTCCATGTGTCTTTTTGGGTTTAAAAATGGACTGAGCAAAATGAAAACTTCATCCAAGTCTGGTTTTTAGTCCCATTATTGATGTTTTTATGAAAAAAAAAAGTTTTTCTACAATTAAAAATGTTGAATGTCTGTAAAAAAAAAAAGAAAGAAAAAGAAAAATGCTGCCTGTCTAACAATCTAAGACCGTGGACTGTTCTCAATTTTTTGCATACACTTTAAAAAGAAGGGTTTGTTTTTCACGAGTGTATGCCAAGTGAAATGTGTCCTCAGAAGGTGCTTTGTACAGTAATAAGATATTGTTCACGTACGTGGATCAAACGGACTGTAATTTATCTTTAACTTAAATGGGGGGGGGGGGGGTCTTGAACTGCAAAGAGGAATTGCACACAAGACAAATAAACGAGGTCTCCGGGTGTATTTAACGGGGACTTCTGCACCAGATGTTAATTCACCTTAGAGTCCAGTGCACAAGCTGATCTTCTACTGTCTGCTGCCACACCACATCGCTCTGCAGGGGCCCCTGACGTGGCCTCAAGTTAGCTGTCAGTAAAACAGGTCAAAGTTTAGGGACACCGCTGTCTCCTTTTTTATTTTATTTTTATTTTTCACATAGCATGATTCACTAGCAGGACTATATCTCTCATAACTGACTGATGCAATTTTATGTATGTTAACACTATCATTTTTGTAAGAGTATTTTATTTTTGTGTGTAATTAGTTCTAATTAAACTTGCCTTTTGTCTAACAATGTAAGGCCTTGTACAATTGTATGTCCTGTCTTTTTTTTGCGGGGAGTTTGATTTTAATTGTGCACATAAACAGTTTAAATTGTATGGGATCTGTTTAGCCGATATGAGGGGTAAAATGTAATAAATTGCACTGTGATCTCAGCTGCATCAACTGAGCTTGATTTACAGATGCACTGCTGTGTTGCAGATATAAAAATATTAAAATGTTTTACTTTGTAGAATTAAACAAAAAACGAAATTTTGTGTTATGAAGGCAACTTCAAAATGAACCGGTGTACAGGTCAGATATTACTACATCCCCTTAAAAAATAAAAATGCATGTTAGCAAAGCTATAAACAAACAAATACCATGTTTTAGATTTGTTTAATCACCTGCATCCAAAAGGTGAAACTGATGGTTGATATGCATTCCTTCCAAAACTACTAGGAATTTAATAATACGTTGTTTTGACAAAATTTAAAAAAGGACAGTTTTTATTGTAATGATGTAGTTTTGTTATGTAACTGTGCAAATACTGATGTGCTTCTTTGTTCATTTTCTGTCTCCTCTCTGTAAATACCGTTTCTGGGTTCTTCCTAAACTCACGTTAAGTCGACGCTTTGGTTTAGTAAGAAATATTCCCCATTGTTCACAAACGCAAAAAAAAAAAATCACCTGAACAATTTTCATCTGATTTTGCAAAGAGAAATGAACAAAAAGTACTTTATGTTTCGGGCGGTCCTGATGACGTAATTTACCGATTACGCAGCGGAAGCCGCCAGGCCGAATCACCTGTTCTTTTTTGTCACGTACATATCCATCCGCCAACATGTGTTGTGCTGTTGCTGGGTGCGGATATCGAATAAAACCGTTAATTTTTGATGAAAACTTTTTTCAAGCCGATATTTGTAAAAAATATCTCTTTTCTGTCTTTTTGTTTTAAAACGTTCAGTCAGTGGAACACCAGAACCGGAACTCCTTCCGCGGATGGATATGTCGGAAGAGGGACTCTCCTTCCTTATAAACCGGACCTCATTTCGTGTAACCGGTATTTCAGTAGAACTGCCGGCCCGTTTTGTAACAGTCTAGGCCGCTTTATAGTCATCTTTAAAATAACCAAAAAAGAAACCAAAAGTTTGTACATTTTGTAAACATAATGCCTGGATATTCCGACAGAGATCGCGGCAGAGATAGAGGGTAAGTGTTTTTAGGTCTTATTGTTTAAGGACGGTTTCCGCCGTCGTGTGACGCGACTAAAGAAAAGAAGAAATGTGCCGGCATCTTTTTATTGTAACCAATGAAATTAATCTTTCGAGTTACCAGTTGTTAAGGACGGATAGTAACTGTTAAAATATTGGTAAATAAATTAGTAATACTTAATATTATTAAACTTCGATGAGCCGTCGTCGTCTTTTTTTGGCTAGAGGCCTTGTTTGGCCTCGTGCCCTGGCTCACTGGAATGTTAGCTTAAGGATACGGGTTTTTCTCGTGCAAATGGTGCTTTAACGCGAATAATATCGACGTGTTTTGTTGTATTTTGTATTTCTGGTTCATATTGTTACTTTTCTCACTGCTGAATTAAAGTGGATCGGTCTTTTACTTGTGGCTAACTCTGGCTAGTCGGCCTGTCGCCATGTGGCGGCGTCTGAGCTCACAAAATGCCGGCTGGTACTTTTTTTTTTTTTTTCCCCTCAGTTGATGGCCTACATTGATTAAAGCCTTGGCTACAGGGCTCACTGTCCTTTAAACTGGTTTGACTGGTTTTCCTCTTCTTTTACTAGCTATGGCGGTGGACCTCCACGGTTCGGTGGCAGTCGAAGTGGAGCCGGAGGTGGGGGAGGAAAATTCGGTAATCCCGGTGACCGGCTGCGGAAAAAACACTGGAACCTGGACGAGCTCCCGAAGTTTGAGAAGAACTTCTACCAGCAGCATGCCGACGTCTCTCACAGGTCACCGGTATGTGGTTGACATGATTTAGCAAGTATAAACATAAAAAACTGTCCTGTAACCAGGCCTGGCTGTTGGATAAACACTCTTCTTCTTCTTCAATTTGCAGCAAGAGGTTGAACAATACAGGAGGACCAGAACAATTACAGTGAAAGGAAGAGACTGTCCAAACCCTATTACAAAGTTTCATGAAGCCAGCTTCCCCAGTAAGTTAAAGACAGAAAAAGAGACTACCCCATGAAACTGAACTATTTGCATCTAAACTGTAACTGTATTTGTTTTAGCTTACGTAATGGAAGTGATCAACAAACAGAACTGGACTGAACCAACACCCATCCAGGCGCAGGGTTGGCCGTTGGCTCTTGGAGGCAAGGACATGGTCGGCATCGCTCAGACTGGCTCTGGCAAGACCCTAGCTGTAAGTTGCAAGGTTTTGTTTTTTTTTCTGTAACAGCTGTTTAGTTTTTCAGTTTATGCGAGATAACACTTTGTTTATTAATTTGGTTCATTTACAGTATCTCCTGCCTGCAATTGTTCACATCAACCACCAGCCTTTCTTGGAACGTGGAGATGGTCCCATCGTAAGTAGTCCTGAGTATTATTTGCACAGTGCGTTCCTGGCGTGTCTCTTAATTTTTAGATTTCATTGTGATCAGAATTAAGTAATCTTGGTGTGTAGTTATCTAGAATATTGGGATTAAGGACTAATCAGAAGAAAGATGGGTTTGTAGCTCTTACAAAGCTGTAATTTTAATTTCAACAGTGTTTAGTGCTAGCCCCGACTCGTGAGCTGGCCCAGCAGGTGCAGCAGGTGGCTGCAGAGTATGGCAGAGCTTCTCGCCTGAAATCAACCTGTATCTATGGAGGAGCGCCGAAAGGACCTCAGCTTCGTGACCTGGAAAGAGGTACTGGATAGGATTTGAGGTATAGAGATGTTAAAGGGAACCAAAAATGGCCACTATCTTAACGTATCTGATTATTTGCAGGTGTGGAGATCTGCATTGCCACTCCAGGCAGGCTCATCGACTTCCTCGAGGCAGGAAAAACAAACCTCCGCAGGTGTACCTACCTGGTGCTGGATGAGGCTGACAGAATGTTGGACATGGGCTTTGAGCCACAGATTAGGAAAATTGTTGACCAAATCAGGGTAGGCATCTTTCTTTTTCCTCAAAAGCTTGAAGAAAAAAAAACTGGTGTAAATTTGTCAAAGATGGACTAACTGATTGTTTTTTCGCAGCCTGACAGACAGACTCTGATGTGGAGTGCCACGTGGCCTAAAGAGATTCGCCAGCTGGCAAACGACTTCCTGAAGGACTATGTGCAGATTAACGTTGGTGCCCTTCAGCTCTGTGCCAACCATAACATCCGCCAGATTGTGGATGTTTGCCGTAACGAAGATAAGGAGAAGAAGTTAGTATTTACATCATATCAAACAGAAGAAGTGGAACAAAAAGATGGCTTCTAGTGATGGTCAGAGTTAAATTAATGATTTTCTTTCTTCTTCTGTAGGCTCGTCCATCTGCTACAAGACATCATGAGTGAGGAGGAAAACAAGACCATCATCTTTGTCGCGACAAAGATGCAATGTGATTATCTTACCCGTAGAATTAAGAAAGAAGGGTAAGTATTGACAGTTGTAGTTGATTGATTTTATGATACACAGATTGGTCTTGAACCTCAGTATTTATTCTAGGTGGATTGCTCTGGGACTCCACGGTGATAAAAGACAAAACGAACGAGACCGCGTTCTTAATAGTAGGCTTTTATTCATGACTAATCTGAAATGTAATCTAATCTCGTGTGTATAATTCTGATTATCGTGCCTGATTTGATTCTCCCTTAGAGTTCAAAACTGGCGAGGCCCCAATTCTGATTGCTACAGATGTTGCATCCAGAGGTTTAGGTCAGTATCCGTCCTGCGCTCCTTCTTACTTTAATTTTATGTTATTTAAAAACATTCTTCTCAACATTTCTCATTTCTTTAACTCTTCTGCTTCTTTCTGAGTATCTCCCCTCACTTGAAGGAGCAGTCTTGAGTGGCAGGGCCTTGGCATGACGAGTCCAGGTACCCAGGGGGTAGGGCTGGGCGGTATGACTTCATGTCACGGTATAAACTAGGGCTGTGTATTGGCAAGAATTTGGCGATACGATACATATCATGACAGAGGGGTCACAATACGATATATCCCGATATATTGCGTTACTGTAAGCAAGGTGATATATTGTGATT